CTCTAGACTGTTTCAAATAAACAAGTTTATACAGACATTGACTGAGTCTCTGCTACATGTCAGACCAGTGCAATACCCTGAGAACAGAGAGACACTGCCTCTCCTGTCTCCCAGGGAGGTATTCACACCCTGATGACGCAGACAGGTTATATGCCCTCTTCAATGGCAGAGAATGAGAGGAGAGCACACAGTGAGAAACATGTTAGCACCCCCATTTTTAGAAAAGGGAACACCACAAACTTTGCAGCTGAGCCCAACTTCAACTCAAGGTAAAATTCCAGAACAGATGATCAAAAGAGGGTTTGTGGGCACTGAGAAAAGGATAAGGTGAATGGTTAGAACCAGCACATGTACCTAAGTAAGTCACACCTGGCTAATGTCATGTTCTTGGTTTGATAGTTAAGAGAACAAATTGGAAAAGAGTTGATATATCTGAATTTTATTACAATGTGTTGATCTCATCTCTAATACTATCTCTCATGATAAGATGGAGGAAAATGGACTAAAATAAGGGTCAAGTATATGTGGAACTGCTAGAATGGTCTTGAGAAAAGAACTGATCAAGTAAACAGAGGTCATCAAAAGAAATGAAAAATATTTTAAAGTAAAATGATAAATGATACCAAGGCAAAAAGATAATGGCACAGGGAGTAGTTCCAAAGAAAACAGGCCAGCTAGACCACACTACAATGAACCCCACAATCAGTAAGCCCTTCATGAAGACATAAATGATTTGCTGACCAAATTATCAGATGATAAAAACTAGAGGAAGCAATAGCAAATACAACAGATAATAAAGTTGGAATTCCAAAAGCTCATACAATCTGCCAAACTGGGCAAAAATCAACAGCTTTACATTTTCTCAGAAAATTCAACTTTTCTACTTATCTTTTAAAAATCCAACAATACTAGAACATGGTTGGAAGTGTGGGGGGCTGGGAATGACTGAGGGCTTTTGGTGGACATCAAGCTAATGTAAGTAAAGTTGCTGAAAAGGCTAATGCAACCTTTGCGTGTGTGCGTGCTCAGTCATGTCTGACTCTTCGCAACTCCGTGGGCTGTATCCTGCCAGGCTCCTCTGTCCATGAAATTTTCCAGGCAAGAATACTAGAGTGGGTTGCCATATCCTACTCCAGTGGATCTTCCTGACCCAGGGACTGAACCATCTGCATCTCCTGCATTGGCAGGCAGGTTCTTTACCACTGACCACCTGGAAAGCCCCATGCAACTTTAGGCAACACTAAGAATTCAGAAGAAAGAACTGACTACATCTAGTCTACTGAATTCCTTTCTATGCACCACACTTCAGTGGAACTGTTAAACTAGAATTCACTCATACAGATAAGAGACTTGAGTAACTTCTAGTAGTGGCTAACTGAACATATGCATTTAATGCTGCTGCTGCGTTGCTTCAGTCGTGTCTGACTCTGTGTGACCCCACAGACAGCAGCCCACCAGGCTCCGCCATCCCTGGAATTCTCCAGGCAAGAACACTGGAGTGGGTTGCCATTTCCTTCTCCAACGCATGAAAGGAAAAAGTGAAAGTGAAGTTGCTCAGTCGTGTCCGACTCTTCACGACCCCATGGACTGCAGCCCACCAGGCTCCTCCATCCATGGGATTTTCCAGGCAAGAATACTGAAGTGGGATGCCATTGCCTTCTCCGGCATTTAAAGCTGCTCCCTCCCAAAATGCCACTTAAATGACAGTAGAGGAATTCAAAATATCTGGAACTAGGATTTAGGTAGGAGAGAGACAATTAACCTAGCAGACTCCAAGAAACTAAATTCTGAGTCAACAGTGGGAAAGGGCAGGAAGCAAACCGATTAATGCCATAAAACGTTCCCATAAAACTTCAGCAATTTGTGGTATATGCCATCTCTGGAACCAGAGGAGACAAACCAGAGGAAGATTCATGAAAGGGAGCTGTGAGACCCTTGGAGCAGGAAGGAACTAATTGCCCCTCCTCTATCCAGAAAAGTTATGGGCAAGGGGAGAGAAAACAAAAGGAATAAGTGCAAATTTACAAAGTAAATACTGAGACCAAGGCCTTCTCCATTTTCTTTCCCTGCTTGGGTCCCAGAATTCTAGCAGTCAGACAAATACTCTCCAGGAGATGAGAAGAGATTTCCTGGAGAAAATCCAATCCATTAAAAAAAAAAAAAAAAAAGACCAAAACATACTGACACTGAGTGTTTCCAAGAAAACAGGGGCTGGCCAAACCACCCTACGGAGCTTCCCTGGTAGCTCAGACGGTAAAGAATCTGCCTGCAATGCAGGAGACTCAGGTTTGATCCCTGGGTCGGGAAGATCCCCTGGAGAAGGGAATGGCAACCCATTCCAGTACTCTTGCCTGGAGAATTCCACGGATAGAGGAGCCTGGCAGGCTATAATTCACGGCTCGCAAAGCGTTGGACATGACTGAGTGACAAACACACAGACCACCCTATAGTGAACCCCACAGTCAATTACCCCATCCCCAAATGAATACAGTGCTTTCAACAAGCTTTTGGAGCCTGGCACTTAAACAATGAGCAGATAACTAAGTACTACCAGACAGTCAAGGAAGAAACCTTTAACATGAATGCAGAGACAAACAGAAGAAACTAAGTTGGAAGAAACAGATGATGCAGATAGAGAGAGAAGTGAACTTAAAACAAATGCACACACATACGCACAGAGAAAAGATGGCACAAAAATAAACAATAATGATGAGAACAAAGCAAGAATACCCTATGAAATGAAGAACTTGTAGCAGAAATAAAAATGTAATAGAAAGACAAATAGAACAAATCTAATAGAATATGGATTAGAAGACAAGGAGTTCAGAAATGAAAGAAAAGGTAAGAAAAGTAAGGAACAAGGAAAACAGGTGGGGAAAAAAAATCAAAGAATTCAGGAAAAAAACTTCCTAACCACAAAATATAAATTTCCAGATTGAAATATCCCCACAGTGCCCAGCATAATGGATGAAAACAGATCCACAAAAAAGGCACATCACTGAAAAATGTCAGAAGATGGATTACAAGGAAGACCCTAAAAGGTTCCAGAGAGAATTAAAAAAGTTCAATACAAAAAAAAAAAATCAAGAACCAGAATCAGACTTCAATAGCTATCCTAGCAGGAAGAAGACAAAGGAAAAACACATTTTAAATTCTGAGAGAAAATAATTTCCAATCTAGAATTCTAAATCCAGCCAAATATTAAATATGCATGAAGTAAGAATAAAAATATGCAAGTTATCAAAAAATTACATGTATCCGTTTCTCAGGAACCTACTAAAGGAGGTCTTTTTTTCCCAAATTAAGGGAATAAATCAAGAAAGAAAACATCAGGGCAGGAAAACTGATGAGAGAAATCAAAGGCTCAATAAATGGAGAACTATGCCACATTCACAGACCGGAAGACTCAATATTACTGAACAGACTCTTTCCTAATTGACCTACAGTTGCAGGGCTTCCCTGGTGGCTCAGACAGTTCAGAGACTTGGGTTCGATCCCTGGTTCAGGAAGATTCCCTGGAGAAGGGCATGGCAACCCACTCCAGTATTCTTGCCTGGAGAATCCCATGGACAGAGGCACCTGGAGGGCTAGTCTATGGGGTCTCAAAGAGTCAGACATGAGTGACTAACACTTTCACTTCACTATAGTTGCAACACAAGCCAAATCAAAATCCCAGCAGGATTTGGGGGGTAGATATTGATAAACTGATTTAAAAATGTATAAGGAAAGACAGAAGACTAGAATAGACAAAATAGTTTTCTACGTTACTCACACCTCTTGATTTCAATATACACTATAAAGCTACCATAATCAAGACCATTTGGTATTAGTGTCAAGACAAACACATCAATGAAATAGAAAATTCAGACCCATATACATATGGTTAATATTTGGGAAAGGTACAAAAGCAATTCAATGGCAAAAAGTATAACCTTTTCACCAAAGTGTACTAGAATAATTAGATACTCTATCTCCAAGCCAAGCTTCAGCAATACGTGAACCGTGAACTTCCAGATGTTCAAGCTGGTTTTAGAAAAGGCAGAGGAATCAGAGACCAAATTGCCAACATCTGCTGGATCATNTGTTCCAGTGGTCATGTATGGATGTGAGGGTTGGACTGTGAAGAAAGCTGAGCGCTAAAGAATTGATGCTTTTGAACTATGGTGTTGGAGAAGACTCTTGAGAGTCCCTTGGATTGCAAGGAGATCCAACCAGTCCATCCTAAAGGAGATCAGTCCTGGTGTTCATTGGTAGGACTGATGCTGAGGCTGAAACTCCAATACTTTGGCCCTCTCATGTGAAGAGTTGACTCATTGGAAAAGACCCTGATGCTGGGAGAGATTGGGGATAGGAGGAGAAGGGGACGACAGAGGATGAGATGGCTGGATGGCATCACCGACTTGATGCACATGAATTTGGGTGAACTCTGGGAGTTGGTGATGGACAGGGAGGCCTGGAGTGCTGTGATTCATGGGGTTACAAAGAGTCAGACACAACTGCGTGACTGAACTGAACTGAACTGATGCAAACAAAAAAACAAAATCCCAATCTATACCCCAAACTTTATCTAAAAATGAACTCAAAATGTATCCTAGACATATGTGTCAGATGTGAAAACAGAATATTGTAGGTTAGTGTGTTACCTTGCTTCTTAGCTGGGGAAATGATATGAAAATCTGGAGTCTGCTTACTCCTGATATAGGCTATCAGGCAGTTCTGTGGTTTTCAGACTCTCTTCTCATCCACACCCTCAGAGATCCCTAGGCCTTAGACTCCTGCTATTAGAGGCAGAGATAAATACCAGTGTTCAATCCGCCAAGTTGACTAGATTTATTGGTCTCATTCCAAACACAGATATCCTAAATTTTCCCCAGGTCTTCTAACTTAAAGGCAAAACGGACGTTTTCTTCCTCCAACTCTATTTCACCATATCTTTTCTTCCGTCCTTTCCCCTGTTTATTTTTCTTACTCAGAGTTGCAAAATAAAGCTACACAGCCAGTTTTTTTTTTTTTAGAAAACTGCCTTTATTCTATTAGTTGGAAAAATTAACTGGTACAGAAAAAAAGTTTAGTCAGCTGGAGAGGAGAGAGAAACTGAGGGCCGCCCAAGAGAACGGGCAGCTCCTCTGGGAGGGAACCTGGGTACAGTGAGAAGAAACAGCACTATGAACTAGAGCCAGACCCTGCAGTCCAGGTGAGACAGGTTATGCCACCTTCTGAGTGTCCAAGTGCCTCAGGCAGAAGACTGAATTCCTATTTACTTAGCCCAGCTCTGGGGAAGGGGGTACTGGAATATGTGGGGCCGAAATGGGGGGACATGGCCATCTTTTATCCGAGAAACTGACAAAACGGGAGTTTAAAAAATCAATTTTCCATCTGACTTTATTTTCAAATACACTTTCTTAAAAAAAAAAAAACCAAAAAAACCAATACACTTTCTGTGAAGATGACAAATATCAGTATTAGGAATCCAATTATACAAAAAATACTACATCTAGTCTGGGGTGGATATATTTATTTTTGGTAATATACATTAAGCGGCACTAATTACACAGTAACTATAAAGTAACTAACATGAAACCACAGAACTGTAACTTTACCACAGCTGCGCGGACTTGGGCCTTTCTGGCTGAGCACATATTCAAAAAACTGGATAGCCACCCAGAGCCATGCCAATGAAATCTGTTAAAAGGAGCAAAGCTCTGAGGTGGTGACTCACCAGAGTACCGTGCAGCTGATAGATGACAGACAGGACATGTTAGTTATAAAGTAGTTACAGCCTAATTCACAAAAGTTACCAACGGTTTCTCTTTCCAGAAAGAAGCAAGAAGTTACGAAATCCCTTGAATTAGCGCCTGGTGTGTCAGGTGGGAGTGCAGAGGAGGGCTGTTAGAGCAGTGTCAGAAGGACCCTGGTGGGTCAGGTGGGTTGTACATCATTAATAATCATGGTTGCCTTCTAAATACTGGTAGCAAGATGACTTCTGATTTGTAATCTTAGGTAAATTATAGATAAATGAAAAAGGCCAGTAATCATACACTAAGATTAATAAACAGCACTTCAAAATTAACCGCATGAGGGCTGTGCTTGCAGCAGGGGTTTCACAAGACAAGGCACCCAGATTTTTTCTTCCCACGTCTGGCTTGCAGAGCAGCTCTCGTGGCCATTTCAAAAACCTCCCTCACTCCATCTTTGGTCTTTGCTGAACACTCCATGTACCCAAAAGCACCAATCCTGTTTGCCATATCTCTGCCTTCTTCGGGTTTTACTGGCTCCTAGCAGAGAGAAGAGAGTACTTTTAGTTAACGTGTTATATACATATAGTAAGTAGGTATAGAGTATTTAAACTCTGCTAAAAGACTTCAGAAGCCAAGGTGTCACCCCCATCACTTTTAAAAGGCGTTAGGGCTCTCTGTTTGGACTCCCAGGCTGCCTGATCCTTCAGTTGCCACCAATTTATCTCCAGCCTCACATATACAAAGGTAGTAACTGGACAGGGAGACCGAGAGCCTGACAAAGCTCCTGCATCTGACACTGACTACTGCTGTGGCGGTCCCTTCTCAGGAAGGCAACCTGCACAAGAGAGGTCCCATCTTATAGGCGAGGGAGCCTTAGGGACCCTCTGTGCAGGCCCCAGTCAATGAGGGCCAGGGGGACAGAGAGGCTTCTGGGAGTCTCTCTCTGAAACAGCCTGGCCTATGAGGGTTTCTGCCTCGCTCCCTGAATCTCCAGTTGTGGGTCCTGGGTTCCCGAATGCTACAGAAGACAGAGCTCTGCCCCAGGCCGTACCTGCTTCATCTTGGCTAGCTCCCGCCTTGTGTGCTCATCGTTTCGAAGATCCTTCTTGTTCCCAACCAGGATGATGGGCACGTTGGGACAGAAATGCTTGACTTCCGGAGTCCATTTTTCTGGGATGTTTTCNGGCAGCAATATAAGCATGTTAGAGATACAGAGAGAAATAGCAAAAAGATTTAGTTCAAAGATGTAAAAGTGATGGCCTCAGGGAAGCATAAAATGGGGGAAAGGCTTTTTAAAAAATAACAATTCTGCTTCTAATGTTTGACTCTTTAAAGATATAGCATGTATAGCTTTGATAAAAATAAAAATTAAATAAACTTAAAAAATAAATCAAAGCTTAAGGGGAAAAAAAAGAGAAGCCCAGACTAATACAGAATCTGGAAGCATGATACTTAGAAATGGCAGTATCAACTAAGGGTTTTTAAGTTTAAATGTATACTACTCAGTACACATTAAGGATGATTTCAGTTGTTTTATCTTCAATTATTCTATATAGCTAGTGGGTGCAGAACTAGAATCAGCAGTAAAGTTACATGGACAGAGAGGTCACCTGTGCAAAGAAGCAATTTCTAATAACTGCCTGAAAGTGGAGTTAACCGACTCAGGAAGCAGTGAGTTCTCTGCTGAAGGGAGGTATTTAAGCAGAGCCTGGACAAAACCATTTAGTGGATGTGATATCTTGGTAGGTTGGAATACAGAACTCTAAGTCCCCGCCAGTTGTGAGATTGTGTAAAAGGATTCCTGGTAATCATGTCCTTTGAATTAGCACCTTCCAAAGTGGGACTGGTAACACTGGTAGGCGCAGCAGTTTAGGTACTCAGGACACACAAGCTTCTTCCTTCTACCTCATCTCCGGCTCTTTTCAGCTTTCAATTTTTCATTTCAGAAGTCTTAAGTATATTTACATTTCATTACAAATCATCTAAGATATTTGGAAGCAGATGAGATATAAATAGACTTAAACAGCAGAAGAGAAAATGCACGTCTGGATGGGAGAAAACTGGAAGAGAAACCAGAAGATGGTCTGACTGGTGGTAAGAAATGAAGAATGGTACCCACTCCAGTTATTCTTGCCTGGAGAATTCCATAGACAGAGGAGCCTGGTGGGTTAGAGTCCATGGGGTCACAAAGACTGAGCAACTAACCCAAGAAATGAAGAATCAATTCTGAGTCCTGTGGTTCGGAGACTAATCGACACTAAACAGGTCACGGTGCCCAGTTAGTTAAGAACACCTGGGTTTGCTGGCAGGGTGACAGGGCAGAGATCTGTGGCTCAGTCACTAGACATAGATGAGCCGCAAGAGAGCCACCTGAGATTAGAGAACAGCAAAGGGACACTTCTGACTTGTTCTACCTTAAATATAAAGTTCCTAGAACCTAGTACCATCAAAGAACACAAATCACTCTGCTTAAATGCTGGTCATTTCAATGGGGAAATAAAGATATTAAACAAATTATAGGTCCTATCTTTTTTAGGGATCACCTCAAGAATGACTCATCCACAGTATTCAGGGAAGTTTTACATTATTTTCTACTCAAGGACAGTAACTTAACTTTCATTCCATGTCATAAAATACTGTCATGACTACAGAGACAATAAATTTAGCCCAAAGCTTACCAAACTCCATTCTTAATCAGTTAAGAGTTGACACAGAACACACTTCAAAAATAATGTTTAGGGAACTTCCCTGGCGGTCCAGGGGTTAGGACTCTGTGCTTCCACTGTAGGGGGACACCGGTTCGATCCCTGGTTAGGAAACTAGATCCCACTTGCTGCAACAAAGACCTGGCGCGGTCAAGTAAGTAAATACGTAAATAAAAATTAGAATCTATCAAGAAATTATCGGCATCGTGCACTCAGTAAATGGTGTACCTTTTCTGGGGCTACTGAAGAGAGACTCAGGAGAGCTCCGACACTCTGTGGATGCCCCTCAGCCCTCCTTGTAACAGACTGAACACTTCAAGGGAAAGGCTCCTTCTTGGTTGAATCCAGTCCTTAGAATCCTGAGTAGCACAATGCTCAGTAAATGCTGAACCAAAACAAAGCATGTGACAGGCCTGGAATTTTCTCTGTATTCTACCAACATTCTGATTTTCTTCCTTTTTTTTCAGGGCCTTCCCCTCATTCCTGAGCTCCTCACAAGCAGGCGTCATTTCTGCAGGCCGCTCTCTACCCTTCTGGCCACACTTTGAACAAAATAAGCAGTATTTGTGGCTCTATCCACTCTGCTCCAGGCAGGCACTGGGAAGATGGGCCAGAAGACCTGTCACCGTACACCTGCACAGTGATGGAGCTAAAAGTAAATCTTTTCTCATAAATCTATTGAGCAGTGCTGACCACCTAGCATACTTTCAGGTGCTGACAAGGCTGTGGTCTCTAGCTTATGATATGCTTTTTTCCCTGACTGGCTAGTATTAATGTCTTCACCAAGACTTCATTATAATGTGGGAAAACATGCTAACAAGGGCAGTTTTAAAATCACCAGAATTAACTAAAAACATTTCACATAGTGGCTTCTTTTAATTTTCTGGTTCATTCCCATTTCCTTCCATTGAAAGGTCACCTTTATTTTCATACTAAATTTGATAGGAAACATGACCATCACAGGGCTTCCCTTGTGGCTCAGAGGTAAAGAATACACCTGCAATGCGGGAGACCTGGGTTCAATTCCTGGGTTGGGAAGATGCCCTGGAGAAGGAAAGGCTACCTACTCCAGGATTTGGACCTGGATAATTCCATGGACTAATAGTCCATGGGGTAAAAAAGAGTCGGACACGACTAATCAATTTCACTTTTCATGAGCATCACAAACTAAATTTCTAGTCTCTGAATAACCCATGTGCTTAGTCACTCAGTCATGTCCAACTATTTGCAACCCCATGGACTGTAGCTCACCAGGCTCCTCTGTCCATGGGATTCTCAAAGCAAGAATACTGGAGTGGGTTGCCATTTCCTTCTCCACTGACTATCCCATGCCCACACCACATATATTCAATAAATATTTATTGAGGATCTATTATTTGCTTGGTCTTCCCTGGTGGCTCAGTAGGTAAATAGTCTGCCTATAATGTGGGAGACCTGGGTTCAATCCCTGGGTCAGGAAGATCTTCTGGAGAAGGAAATGGCAACCCACTCCAGCATTCTTGCCTGGAGAATTTCACGGACAGAGGAGTCTGGTGGGCTACAGTCCATGGGGTCACAAAGAGTTGGACACAACTCAGTGACCAACACTTTCACTTACTTTCATTATTTGCTTGGCCCCTGTAATATCACCTCTGTCCTGGATTCCTTCTCCAACAAAAGATAATCAGCATTCAATCAGCAGGTCCCATCTACCAAAGTCCATGTGGAGTGCTGAGTAATAACTCCAACTACCCCTGCCACAGACCAGGGCTAAAGGAGAAAACCCCCAAAGCAGATGGCTGCTCCCCTCACTTGCTGTTGGCCCAGCTGGCCTCACAGCAGTTCTGTTCTGAAGTTCTCAAGTTGAAGGATCCTTCTGTAAACTCTTAACCTCCCTACCCTCTTGGAAATCTCAAAACTACAAATCTGAGAAATTATTCACGGAAAGGCTTTATCATTATCGTAATATACTTGAGTAACGACATTTATTTACACTATCTTGCCAATATTGTAAAGAACATGTTGAAGTTTGTGATGTGCTCAAACTCAGTTTCAAACCTTCTAAGCACTTCCGGACTAAGGGTTGCTTGATCAAGAACATTCCTGCTACCACGCTCACTTAAAGAAACTGAGAAGGAATACTTCAAGCACTGTTTCTCAAAGTATGTCCTGTAGGAGAACAGTTCCTCAAGATGCAATGGAAAAAAGAAAAAAAAAAGAAATGTTAGGGACAAATGAATTGAAGGCCAGTTAAGCCAAGTTAGACTGGTTTCTGGTGTGGGGATGTGGATTGTGGGACAGCAAGCCTTTAATAGACTGATATGCTGATGTGGTGGAGAAGGAAATGGCAACCCACTCCAGTATTCTCGTCTGGAGAATCCCATGGACAGAGGAACCTGGAAGGCTACAGTCCATGGGGTTGCAAGAGTTGGACACGAGCACCATGCTGATGTGGCTCCACAAATGGGTGTGGGGTATGGAATGAGCAAGAACTCGACAAGCTTTTCTGATCTCAGAATCCTTTCTTAGAAGACCACGTTGTAGCCCTGGCACTATGGGAGCACATACTTGGGGAAACACTGCCTACAGTATTTGTAAGTAACATTTGTATCCTTACATGGAGGGCATATGCAGCACTGCCTACAGCAGGGAGCCTGGTGAGCAGCAGGGCCTGGTGAGCAGCAGGGAGCCTGGTGAGCAGCAGGGCCTGGGGAAGTACGTCCCCGCTAGGGGCTTCCTACTCTGTGTGCTTATCACTACCTCAACAGAATCATGTGTTTCCACTTGGTCCAGGATTACTTTCTCAGATTAAACTATAAACCTTTCAAACATTATTACCAAAACTAGAACTGCATTCAATTTTAAAATGAAGTATCTTATTAAAATATTATTCCCATATCTTCAAAACTGAAATCTGCTTCAACCACCAATGTCTATTCCAAATGTTTTTCTTGACATAGAGCAGGGCTAGTTTCAAAATATATTTAATATATTAGGCTTTACAACTTGATGTTTTCAGACTGTTCTCCAACACATGATGTTTTTAGAGTTTATGAACAGACAAAATCACGTGCAATATTTCAAAATCCATTTGGAAAAAACTGAGGTTTTAAACTGAAGTTTAGTTTAAAAAACAAACTCCAGCTTTTGCTCTAGAGGTAAAAAAAAACTCTGCCCTTGTAATTTGATCTTTATGTGCATGCAAATCACCAGTGCCATAGTTTTCAACTTCACATGGCCATTTTCTTCACCTCCTTTCTTACTGCTCTCCTGAGCCTTTTTGATACTTGATATTAAATAGTATCAATTTAATTAATTAATTATACATTAACCCTTCCAAAGGCGATGGATCTACCAAGACTATAAATAGACTATATATAGATGCTTTCGAAATGTGGTGTTGGAGAAGACGCTTGAGAGTCCCTTGGAGATCAAACCAGCCAATCTTAAAGAAAATCATCCCTGAATATTCATTGGAAGGACTGAGGCTGAAGCTCCAACACTCACGCCACGCGAT